TGCTAGAAGCTTCCCCTATGTCCAATAGAGCCAATGCCAGCCAGCTCCAAGATGGACCTGCTGCTGGCCAAAGCTGAGCCAATCAGAGACGTTGGCAGTGCCTCCGTGATAACATATTTAAGAAGGGGAAAAAAAAAACCCTGCTGTGCAAGAGCAGCCAGGAGAGAGGGGTAAGAATATGTGAGAGGAACAACCCTGCAGGAACCCAGGTCAGTGAAGAAGGAGGGGGAGGAGGTGCTCCAGGCACCAGAGCAGAGATTTCCCTGCAGCCTGTGGTGAAGACCATGGTGAGGCAGGCTGTCCCCCTGCAGCCCATGGAGGTTAACTGTGGAGCAGATATCCATCTGCAGCCCATGGAGGACCCCATGCCGGAGCAGGTGGATGCACTCAAAGGATGCTGTGACCCTGTGGAGGTCCCAGGCTGGAGCAGTCTGTTCCTGAAGGACTGCACCCCGCGGAAAGGACACGTGGAAAGGACACGTGGAAAGGACACATGGAAAAGACCCACACTGGAGCAATTCATGAAGAACTGCAGCATGTGGGAAGGACCCACGTTGAAGAAGTTTGTGGAGGACTGTGTCCCAAGAGTGGGACCCTACACTAGAGCACAGGAAGAGAGTGAGGAGGAAGGAGCAGCAGAGACAACATGTGATGAACTGACCACAATCCCCATTCCCCGTTGCTCTGTGCCACTTGGCGGGAGGAGGTAGAGAAGCCAGGAGTGAAGTTGAGCCTGGGAAGAAGGAAGGGGTGGGGAGAAGGTGCTTTAAGATTTGGTTTATTTCTTATTATCCTACTCTGATTTGATTGGTAATAAATTAAATTAATTCCCCAAGTCAGGTCTGTTTTGCCCGTGACACTACTTGCTGAACGATCTCCCTGTCCTTATCTTGACCCATGAGCCTTTTGTTATATTTTTCTCTCCTTTGTCCAGCTGAGGAGGGGGAGTGATAGACCGGCTTGGTGAGTAGCTGACATCCAGTCAGGGTCAACTCACCACACCAAATTTGACAAATTTGACAATACTGTCTTCACTTCACAGCATAAATGTTGAACAACACTTTTCATGTGATGTTGCATTGCTAAATAATGGTGGTCTCAGTATAGAACCCCCAAATGTGAATACACTCAACATACTGAAGTAAATGAATGCATATGTTTGCATTTTTTCCTGTTATTGGAAATCCTAACCCATATTAAATTTGCTTTCACTGCAAGGTGATCTGGTTTTGCTCAATTGACATTAAAAACTGTCATTTAACTTTGACTCTTTTGTAATTACGGTCTCTGACAAGTCACAAGGCAAGATGAAAACCTTTTTTCTTTCTTCAGGTGTATAATAAGGCATTGACAAAGCCTTATGAAGTATTGCTTTATTGATTCTTATCATAAAAGTAAGGTTACAGAAGTCAACTTCTTTTTGTTTAATCTGCTCTTTTGCTGCTTGAAATATCTTTTCCATACAAAAATTGTAACCTTACTTATACGTTGTTGTTTTATTTTCCACATATCATTGTGTTTAATTAACAAATGTCTGTAACTCTAACATCTTCAAGCATTC